TATTTGCATATTGTACTTAGCGTAAGTACAAACGAGGGTATTCACAAAGGAGAGACGTTTGTAATGAGAGTCAGATCGTTCTCGATCAATTACCATACATACGGATGGCCGCAATATCCCAATAAGCCTCAGTAAAAGCGGAGGGATTGTTGTTCACAAAATCTATATCAGGTGTAGCGTCGAGCAACATCTATCAGTATTTATAGGCTAGAAACAAACCTACATGGCCAATTCGACGTTTGGGTGGTCCAGAGCGCAGGCCAAGTGCTATGGGGAAGGTATTTCAGTGGCGTAAAATTAACTTGGAAAAATCGACTAACCCGCATCCCTCAGGCATGTGTCGGATGTCAGCCACCAAAACAGTATCGTGTCCAAACTGTTTTTTTTTTGGATTGTTCGAGTTTCTGCCAGCTCCAGTGCTACTAAGAATGCTCGTCGAGTGCGTTTTTAGGACACTGCGGACCATGAGCACAAGTTCCATCAAGGCCAGGTGTGACATACAAGCTCGTGTCCGATGCGTATGCCAGGTTCAAAGAAAGAGCGGTAGCTTGGTCGGGTCGGGATTCCCCTCCCAAGTAAATTCGTCGAGGAACGAGGAGCCTACCCAGTTATCGCTCAAGGCATAGTCGATCCCTCGAACGTCGGGTATGTTTAGGAGACCAACAAGCAAAAGAGAGTGGAAGTTAAAGAGAGTGGAATGCATGATTACTATGTTACATGTGCTAGGGCTATATCATCTCGACATTTTATAGTGCACAGGCGCGGTTGCCACAAATAGTCTCCCTACCGCCTCCCGACGACTTCTCTCGTGATATACTGGGATAAGCGACTCACGTGCCGAGGTTTTTAAACTACGGTAAGAGCATCTATTGGTGGACCCCCAGTGATATGTTATCTCTAATTTCGGGAGTACTTTGTCTAGATAGCAACGAGAGCGACGATAGAAGAAACAGACCTTCCAAGACACGAGGGAAAATGACCAAAAGATAAACAATCTATGCCCTTCCGTATTTCGGCGAGACAAAGTCAATCCAATTTATGGAGAAGCATACGAAGACGCTGCTAACAATTCTTCATCGGTAGACGGACGGGGTCTCTTATACATACCCCACAAATTCCGTACGGGTACCCAGTTCGAAAGTTTCATACGATCAAAATGCAAGGGAGATGGCTGTAGCGCTACAAGAAGTTGTTGCTGCAATTAGGAGAAGCCCCAACCTGCTACCATATCATAGCTCACCATTTAATTAGAACAATTCGACAGTATTCATTACAAGCGATCAGTTTCTATTCTATCGCCCAGAATTAGAGTGAAGGTCGTGAACCAAAGCTTAGTCTCTGTGATGAGAACTTTTAGGAGCAGCTAGCTGCGCATGATGCAACCATGAATCTACTCATCAAATGGTAGAGCTTCCATACTCACAAGAAGGAACCCGGATATTGAGTCTAGGCTAGAATCTTCCACTGAGCCAAGTCGTGAGATGCTGTCGGCATAGGAACACTTGGTGGCACTAATTTGGATCCATGTGTGTAATCCAGGATATAATTCAGATAGATAAATTATGGTATTTGGGTCGACACAAATGGCTACCACGGGTAGCCGGTCTCAGCTCTCTTCCAGGTCACTTTTACCACGCATTGTTGCACGAGAAAATACCTTGTCGTGGAAAGAAATTCGAACAAAAGAAGTCATTTTATTTGCATATTGTACTTAGCGTAAGTACAAACGAGGGTATTCACAAAGGAGAGACGTTTGTAATGAGAGTCAGATCATTGACCATACATGCGGATGGCCGCAATGTCCCAATAAGCTTCAGTAAAAGCGGAGGGATTGTTGTTCACAAAGTCTATGTCAGATGTAGCGTCAAGCAACATCTATCAGCATTTATAAGCTAATTTAGTCAAACACGTACCAACGCAGGAGCCGGGGCATCCACTATTGGAATACACTCCTCCAGCCCAGTCACCACCTAAACCACAATTGTCAATAAACTGCTAGGAACTAAAGTGAAGGGCAGGTAGGAGCTCACAGAATGTCAGATTGATGATGACGTTGTTCAGACCAAATTTGGACGAAAGGTCACATTGGGTGTTTGGAAATAATGCCATAGGCGTTCCCCAGTTATCTGTATTGATGACTGTCTGCCCAGAAGTGGTCACGTCGGCAGGTATATTTCCTTCCGATCGAGACCAGAACCACGCTCTGATGAATTGAGGTGTGCGTTCCAGAACGTACCTGTATAACTTTGTAAATTGACATTCTGACAATAAATAAATACTCACCATCCACCACCAGCTTGATTGAAACCTGGTCCATAAGAGTTTCCCTTATTTGCTGTGACACCGCAACCAGAGTTGCTATTGACGGCCCAATTGCAGTCATTCGTAACTGCGGTGCTAAAGTTTGATATAAGGCACAAGGGACCATCATATTAATGATACTTGCCCAGTCTCTGCCCTGGAGGCGGGCATCGTGCAGCCCGAGGTCGTATGGAGAGTGATAGTATTTGGAGATACGTTGTTTACTCCCTCGATGATATCAATCTCACCATTATCTAGGTGACATTGAGTTTTGGGAAAGAATTTCAGGGGTCTACTCACTTGGCCAGTTGGAAACTTGGGTAGTCCAGAGCGCGGGCCAGGTGCTGTTCAGCGAGTCAAATCAAAGCGCAAAGCTTGTGCATAGATTACTGACCCACATCCTGCAGGCATGTGTCGGATGTCCGCCACCAATACGGTATTGTGCCCAAACTGCTTTTTCGATTGGATACGATTGGAATTCCTACCCGGGCCAGAACTGCTCAAGACATTGTTCGAATCTGCTTTCAAGATGCTAGTATTGTCAGCATCAATCGAGGTGGACCAGTGGAATAACGTACAAACTTGAGGCTGAGGCATAGGTCAAGTTCGAAGAGAGAGCGGTAGATTGAGATACGTAGTTAACCCGACCATGAGTTGGATCTGCGATGGCCTCCCATGTAAATTGGTTGAGGAACGCGGACCCAACCCAGTTGTCGGTGAGGGTGTAGAACACAGCTTGTACAGGGGAGATAGCCCAAAGGCTGAGAAGGTAGAGAACGGAGAGAGTAAAGAGCGTGGAATGCATGAGCGATGTTAGATTGCTGAGGTTACACTTGCTCACCATCTCTACATTTTATAGTGTCCAGTACGGTTGCCATACAAAGCAACTTTCCAACCAGATGAAGTCAGGAATCGGATGAAGTAGGTCATATGTCCTTGTTTCTGAATACAATACGGGTATTTGATCTTTGGGATCGAAGAATAGAGAGTTATCTACCTCGGCAGTATCCTTTGGCGGTAGACCGCATCAGAGGAGAGGGAGAGTATATGGTTGTGTCCAAACAACGACAATCCATCTACCGAGAAACTTCCTAAATATGCGAGATTCCGTATTTCGGCGACACAAATCTAACCATCGGAAGGAAGGGCAACCGAAGCGTTAGGAAGGTGTCGAAGGGCGCGTGCGTGGATTCTCAGTACCAGGAACTCCGCCTCGTGAACACTAGAGCAACTGCTCAAAATCAACACTCATAGCTCAATCTTCGACTTAAAGTCGACATATGCTTTAAAGATCGTTGGGAGTAGATAGTCACAGACATAACTTGGAGAAGAGGCTTCCAGGAGGAATATCAACCTGCTACCGAAGGGCCAACCTATAGTTCTACATGTCGTCTCGAATGATGAAGAATCTGTGAAGATTACATTCACCGTACCTGGTTCTTGTTCTGTTCACACGGAATATACGTGCGCCACACCTTTCGCGTTAGATAAAGCTACCTCATTGCACCAAAAGGCGCGATTGATGTCCCCGACTAAGAAGAAGATATATTGATGCGAGGAGTTGACGGTGGCGTGCTAGCATCAAACCGGAAGCGGGAGATTTACTGGAGCCAAGAAGGGAGCAAAACAGAGACAAACACGGATGGCGGGGCTCGTTTAGGAAAGAGCGTAGAACTAGAAGGATGATAGGGGAATAGAAGCCGTGGTCATGTGCTTCAAATTTAGCCACGGTCCGGTAAAGAACGGGTCAATGTGGGGCCGGCCACTTCGCCACTGAAGCTAAACACGCATCGTTCCCACTCGATAGCTCGTGTGTCCTCGTTGAAGTAGAATCAAATTAACCTCTAGGACACTGTAAAAATACACAAGATCCGATACGAGGTTAGATCGTCGACCTAGAGCTAGTCAAAGGGATCGAGAGAGGGCATCCCCGCATTGGCATTATTTCCACTTCCTACGACCTCAACAAAGTTGGCCGGGAAGTTACCGACTCGATCCCCTATCTTGCCCTTCCACCTGATCATTGAACCTGTCAGCACGACGGACTTTTATTCGGGAATTATTTTGGACCCACCAATCGTCTACACTGGCACTCTTCTCCAGTATCGTAACAATCTCTCCTTTGCGCATGGTAAGGTCATCAGACTAGAAGAACATCAGTATTCTGACCTATAGCCACCTTCTTGACTCACTTCTACTGCATCGAAATCAAAGCGCACAATAGCTCTTCCGACACCCTCGGGTGCAAGCGGTTCCTTGAGAGCAGCCTTGAATCGCTGTGAAGGAGCTCTTTTGTGCTTGGGTAACTCTTCTTCCGAATCCGAGTCGTTCTTGCGACTAGACTTCCGTAAGAGAGCGGGTTGAATCCGTACGGCTTTGGGGGAAGGAAGCTCCACATTCGTCTTATCCAAATCGACATGTACCTCTTGTAGGTGATAAGGAAGATTAGGGTCGGTCCTCGGTGGGGAATTGTAGACCGGTAAGTGGAAGTCATCTTCCTCTCGTTTGGGGGACTTCATGGCAGCCCCAGGTGAAGGTAATGGGGATACGTTGAATATGTTCATCTTGGATAAAGCAGAGACGTTATTTTCTAGCTGGGATGAGAGTTGAGCAGCGCGAGCTTTCATCTTCATTGAAGCATCAGACTCGGTACGGACAGGCTTCGGCCTTGTTCCGTTGCTATTGTTCCGTTTGAGGACAGAGGTATCGAAAGGAGACGTCATTCTATCGGTTGAAAGTCTGATGTCAGCATTGGTGGTATCGAAGGGAGAGGTCATGCGTCCAAATGGCCCACTGCTGCCTCCACTTGTAGGTGGAACAGACAGATCCACTAAATTTCCATCAGCTTTATTCTTTGATGTCGATGCACCGTTAGTTAGCTCATT